TTAGCCGTTTTGGCGTCATGATCGACTGTGAAGGACAGCGGGTGGTGGTTCGAACCCCAAGTGGGGGAGAACTTGTAGTATATGGTGAGGACACCAGGTTGGGATCAGGGTTTTGTTTGGTAGCCAGGGCTCACCAGTATATTCAGCACGGGTGTGCCGGTTATTTGATGTATGTGGTAGATACACGGGTTAGAGAGCAGTCCTCAGTTTGTGAGGTTCTCGTGATCAGAGAGTTTGTTGACGTGTTTCCGGAGGAGTTACCCGAAGTGCTTCCGGAAAGGCAGGTTGAGTTCAGGATTGATTTAGTGCTGGGTATGACCCCTATCGCTAAGGCGCCATACCGACTGGCACCGCCAGAGATGCAGGAGTTGTCATCTCAGTTGCAGGAACTGTTGGGTAAGCAGTTTATTCGTCTGAGTAGTTCACCTGGGGAGCACTGACCCTTTTCATCAGGAAGAAGGACGGTTCACGCAGGATGTGCATCGACTACAGGGAGCTGAACAAGTTAACGGTGAAGAATCGTTACCCACTCCCGAGCATAGACGATCTTTTCAATCAGCTGCAGGGTGCATCTTGGTTTTCCAAGATTGAATTGAGATCAGGATACCACCAGGTAAGGGTGAGATAGGAGGACATGGAGAAGACGGCGTTTCAGACTCATTATGGTCATTAAGAGTTCGTGGTGATGCCGTTTGGGCTCACCAATGTGCCAGCAGTGTTCATGGATCTGATGAACCGAGTCTGCAGACTGATGCTCGATCGCTTGGTCATTGTGTTCATAGATGATATCTTGGTGTATTCCAAGACTCGAGAGCAGCAAGAGGAGCATCTTAGGGAGCTGTTGGAGGTTCTGAGGCGAGAACGGCTGTATGCCAAGTTCTTAAAATGAGAGTTTTGGTTACGAGAGGTCCAGTTCCTCGGACATCTCGTTAACCAGGAAGGGCTTTTGGTCGATCCGGCCAAGGTGGAGGCGGTAATGCAGTGGGAGACTCCGAATCTCCCTCAGACATCAGGAGTTTATTGGGTTTAGCAGGGTATTATCAGAGATTCATTCGTGATTTCTCCAAGAATTTTGTACCCGTCACTCGTCTAACGAGGAAGGGGTGGATTTCCGGTGGGGCCCTGAGCAGCAGAGGGCATTTGAGCCCCTTCGGCGATGTTTATGCGAGACGCTGGTGTTGACACTCCCCGAAGGAGTTGAGGATTTTGTGGTATTTTGTGATGTGTCCATCACAGGCTTGGGGGCAGCCCTCATGCAGGGGGGGATGAGTGATAGCCTACGCATCGTGGCAGCTGAAGTCGCATGAGATGAGATACCCTACGCACGATCTTGAGTTGGGAGTGGTGGTTTTTGCTCTCAAGATTTGGAGGCACTATCTGTACGGGGTCCGTTGTACTATATACACAGATCACAAGAGTTTGAGACATATCATGGATCAGCCGAACCTGAACATGAGGCAGTGCAGGTGGCTGGATGTGGTCAAGGACTATGATTGTGAGATCCTTTACCATTCTGGTAAAGTGAACGTGGTTGCAAATGCTCTGAGCCGCAAGTCAACTGGATCCTCGACCCCAGCCAGGTGTATGAGGATAGCGGTGGATTCCCTGCTAGTGGGTTTGGCCAGGGATTCTCAAATTGAGGGTATGAGACCAAAGAACTGGAAGATTGAGAGGATTAAGGGCGAAAGCGCCTGGTTTGTTCAGGATAATCGCGGGTTGTTGACCCGTTATGGTCGGGTTTGGGTTCCAATGTCTGGAGGGATCCGACAGACAGTGATGGAGGAGGCTCATAAGTCTCGTTTTTTGATTCACCTGGGAGCCACCAAGATGTACCGTGATTTGATTTCGAGTTATTAGTGGCCTGGCATGAAGCGAGATATCGCTTGGTTTGTTGAGAGGTGCTTGACCTGTAGGATGGTCAAGGCCGAGCATCAGAGGCCGCATGGTAAGATGCACCCTCTGGAGATTACCATGTGGAAATGGGAACGGATCGTGATGGATTTCATCACGAAGTTGCCGAAGATGGCAAGGGGGTTCAATGCTATATGGGTCATCGTGGATCGATTGACCAAGAGTGCCCATATCCTAGCCATACGAGAGAGTTCGTCGGTAGAGAAGTTGGCCGACGTGTACGTCAGAGAGATTTTCTCTTGCCATGGGGTTCCAGTTTCTATTGTTTCCGATCGAGATGTCAGGTTTACTTCCTATTTTTGGCAGAAGTTCCACGAGGAACTAGGTATGAGACTGCATTTTAGCACAGCGTTCCATCCGCAGACTGATGGGCAAAGTGAGCGGACCATTCAGACCCTCAAGGACATGTTGAAGGCGTGCGTCATTGATTTTGGTGGGAGTTGGAATTCCCACCTACCGCTTACAGAATTCGCCTACAACAACAGCTATCATTCCAGTATCGGTGCCCCGCCTTTCGAGCTGTTGTATGGGCGGAAGTGCAGGACCCTAGTATGCTGGGGTGAGGTTAGGCACAGGGTGATGGGTCGGACAGAGGTAGTTCTGCAAACTACCGAGATGATACAACAGATTAGGCAACGACTACAGACTGCTCAGAGTCGGCAGAAAAGTTATGTCGACCGATGCCGATCTGAGCTGGAATTTCAAGTGGGTGACATGGTTCTCCTGATGGTCTCACCCTGGAAGGGTGTGATCCGCTTTAGGAAGAGGGGAAAATTGGGGCCCCGTTATATTGGCCCATTCAGGATTGTTGCCAAGGTTGGTAGGGTGGCTTATAGGCTAGAGCTTTCGGAGGAGCTTATCCGGATCCACAACACATTTCATGTTTCGCAATTACGAAAATGCATTATGGACAAGGAGGTAGTGGTATCGTTGGATGACATTCAGGTCGATGAGCGCCTGAACTATGTGGAGAGGCATGTGGCTATTTTGGAAAGGAAGAAGAAGATTCTGCGGAATAAGGAAATACCTTTAGTAAAGGTACAGTAGGAACATCGGAAGGGATCCGAGTGGACATGGGAGCCGGAGGTGGAGATGCGCGAGCATTACCCGACATTGTTTATTCCAGCGGACTTCAAGGGTGAAGTCTAGTTCAGGTGGGGGATATTTATAATTCCCTAATACTTTGGTATTATTTAAATAAGATTTATTGGGTTAAACTCTACTCGACGATTTGGTTGACCTACTCGTCGAGTAGCAACGGGGTGGGATTGTGTGTTAAGTGACCTACTTGACGAGTCCATATTGGGACTTGGCGAGTAGGAGATGGCAGAGGAAACTCTAAATCCAGGGGTTTGCAACCCTATTTAAAGGGACCTCAGCCTCCCTTGGTTCTCTTTACAGATCTAGAGAGTCTTGAGAGTCCTTATACGTGTATGAGTGCCTTTGTGTGGTGTTTGAAGCTTAGAAAGAGAATCTTGGAGGAAGAAAGCTAGGCGTGCAAAGGAATTAAAGCAAGGAAGGCGTGGGAAGCAGGATTTACCTCAGCTAGCATCCTTTGGAGGTATCATAGTGCCATCGTTACTTCCCCTTTTCCCTTTTGTTGAGTTTCTAGGGCTTTTTATGGATTTTCAAGTTGGTATGATGAGCTATGGGCTAGATCCGAAGTTGTAACTTCAGATTTGGACCCTCCTTTGATTTTAGAATCATAAAGTCACAGTTTTGGTTGTGATTGAGGTCCCTCTTGGGCATAAAAGCCCATTAAGAACTTAAAATAGGCATTTAGAGCCTTTATAGCCATGCATGCACGTAAAGTTTGCAACTTTACGTAAAAAGCATGCCCTAGTAGCTTAGATCTGTTATTTGGAGTCGTTTCATGGTTAAAAATAAGTCTGTATGGAAAAAGGACTGAATGGAATCGGCGAGTCGTAAGGTTGACTCGGCGAGTCACATGAAGATGGCCGTGAACTCGACGAGTTGGATGAACAACTCGACGAGTCCGATGAAGATTGACATAAACTCGACGAGTTGAAGAACAACTCGGTGAGTCGGATGAGTTTTCTCCAGGATATGTATGCATGTGTATTCGTCAAGTTGCAAGGAGGGAACTCGACGGGTGGCCTTAAAGTTTGATCGAGAATCGAAGGAACTCGACGATTCACTCCGATGACTCGGCGAGTTAAGGTCAACATGCATTGTTGACTTTGATTGAGGACTGTTGACTTTGAGCAGGGGTTTACTAGTGGGTTATGGAGTACCTTATAAGGTTAAGGACTTATGAGTATGTAGTACTATGATAGTAGATGGTGGAGCCTGTGTCAAGTGATCCGAGAGTTGGAGTTTACCTTTCAAGTCGACATCTGTGAGGTAAGTTATCCTCACTATATCGATAGGTTCTACGACACCAAGGCCTGCCCTTTTAGTTGTTATTGTTATGGTATGCTACATGTGGTTATGATCTGTTAGATCGGAATCGGGGTAGACAGTATGTTATGCTCTTATGATCTGTAGGGATTGGTATGTTAGTGACCTGCTAGGTTGGTACTCTAGTTACAGGAGAATTCTATGATTAATGATCAGTGAGATAGATATGTTTGATGTTTGTATATGCCAATATATGATAGTAGGTGCACATGGTTATTTGCTTGTGGTTAGGTTGAGGCGGTCCTACGTTGTGCTGAATGCCAACATACCCTATGAGCTGTCCGGGGAGACTGTAGGCCCACGTGGGGGACCAGTCATGCTGAAGGCTCGGGATAGATTCAGACAGACTGTAGGCCCGGTAGGGCGATCCAGTCAGGCCGATGGCCCAGTATACATGTTGATTGATTGAATATTTCTGATATGGTACTGTCAGTGTGGTATTGGTATTTTGGGGGTAGCTCACTAAGCCCTCGGGCTTGCAGTTTTCAGTTTATTGTTTCAGGTACTTTAGGAGATCATGGAAAGGCGAAGGTGTGACCGTACCGCTCCTCATCCTTATATTATGATTTTTGGGACACTCTAATGGAAAAATGATTTGAAAACATTTGTAAACAATGCTATTTGGTTTTAATTTATGATTGAAAAAGTTTAAATTTGGCGTAAAATTTATGGATGTTACAGAAAGAGAAGCTAGGTTAAAACTTGAAAACAAGAAACTCTTGTTTCCTATATTGATGCTAAAGCAAATTCAGAGCGAAGCTGTTGACTTTATGAATCAATATTGGTTAGAACCAGTTGTGTCGTTCAAACTTCAAAATACTCAAGACTCACAACTGGATCTTCTAATAACTCCTATGGCTTTCAAGTTTCTCTCTTTTATCAAGGTTGCGAATTCGCCCTCTACTGGTAATTGCGTTGATCAACTACTCTTCGCATTTTATCTCAAACAAATGAGGCTGCAGTACGAGATTTGGAGTGCAAGAAAGATAACGACAATGAAAGTCATTGGACCAATTGAGACTGACAGTTTCCAAAGGCAAAATTCAAAGTTGTCAAAGGTTCTACGAGCCAAGTTCATGCATTTACCCTCGCAGACCTACTGTGTATCAACCCATATGATTGGATCATGCTCTACAACTTATTTTTGAGAGACGAGCAAAAATACGAGCAAGTTATCCATCACCTCAAGCTCATGATCATTTCATATATTCAGGAGGTGGGAACTATGGATGTAGATATAGTTGCAGTGCTACGAAAGAAGCCTTTTGCAGTTCCTAAAGAAGCTCCTGATGGTTTTGAGTTGTTAAAGCTTTAAAAGTTTTACAAGGAAAGCTGGTATGTGGTGTTTCAAGCTAAGGAACAAAACAAAGCTGATTTTCGTAAAGCACGTTTCTTTCTTCCAGACAAGCATTTGTATACAACTTCTTGTCTTGAATTTATCATGGACGTGGTCAACAATTTCAAGGCCAACAACAAAGGTGACAAAAAGTGTTTTTCGGACATGATTCGGTGGTATGTCCAAGTTCACAAGGCACTCTTAAGCGTTATTCCAAAAGTGTTTGAAGTGCAAAAGCGAATGTTGCCCTGATGGACACTTGCACAATTGATGCAAAGGGGGAGATTGTTGGGATAATTATGTTGCGTCATTAGGCATTATGTATAGTCTGTTTTGTAAACGGGTTGGGCCTATCCTCCCGTATTTATTTACTAGGGTTAGAGTATTTAAGGTGCATGCATGCATCATATTTTAGTGACTCTGATATTATTTCTTGTAACCCTAATCATGCCTCTATAGTAGCAATTCTTCATCGATTTCTTCTGATGCGTGACTTTGAATCATTCAATAGATTTTCAATCATCGTTGTGTTCTTGTTTCAATTTGTTTCTTGTTTAAATCTGTTTGAATCAAATCGATCATTCTAGGATTAATATCCAAACAGGGAATGGTAGAGAGGCCAACTCTAAAGACTTAAGGTCCTTAAATAAGGTACAACACACTTAAATTAGGGTTTCCTTCACTCCTCGTATGCCCAATGTACTCCTCATATGCCCAACTTACTCCTCGTATGCCCAATGTACGAGGCCGAGGCTTCACGATCCTTCCTTGGTATGCTTAGCATACACCAGTGTACGCCCCACGTACTTCACTTTGCACTAGTACGCCTTACGTAATCCCAATGTACGCCCTGCATACTAGGGTTATCTTAAACCATAAAAATACCGCGAAGGCGATAACTTCTTCATTATAAATCTGATTTCGACAATCCTGATATCCACGAAAAGGTAACGAGAAGCTCTACGATTTTATCAACACATACGCGCCTTAAGATTTCCCGAATAAAATTTAATTTCCATAAAAACCGAAGCTGACACTTTACCGAATACCACTTGGCTCCAAAACACAAACCGAACACCCAAATCATTTAAATTACGTCCCCCATACCCAAATGGGAAATGTTCCGGGATAGGGCGTTACAATTTGCATAAGAGTTTTCAACTAGTTTTTTGTGCTTTCTTTGGATTATTTGCATCTAGGTTGTGTCTCCTTTGGATTGTTTTTTCTGTTGGTTGTGTTCGATGACAAAGGTGTTGTGGTCATCATTAGGGTTTTAAGCATTTAAAATTGGTTTGTTTTAATTTCATTGGTAGTGGTTACCGATTTTTTTTATTTGTTGTAAGGTGGTTGTTCTTCTTTTGGTGGTGATCGTGGTGGGACCTTATATATAAATTAATAAATAATAAAAACAAAAAAAATGAAATCTAAAGATAAAGATAAAAAAAGAAATTAATAAAATTAATAAATTAATAAATAAAAAAATAAATCTAAAGAACGATATTGTCTTTATATGTTCGGGAGGGACAATATAAAAATGTTAGTGTCAAAAGCGTAATCTTAACCAAACCACATTGACAATTTAAATATTTTACTGTAACACCGTGAAATTTCAAAACAATTTTTCATTGTTAAAACATACTTTTAATCAATAAGTAATACAAAACATGAGGTGTCCTCTGTTATTACATCAAAACATTTCCCAAGATCTCATAACATAAACTTCATAAGTGTGTACGAATCATGTCGGCGCCTTCCCGCGATCATCACTTGTACTTGAAACACATACACAAATACTTTAAGCATAAATGCTTAGTGAGTTCCCCAAATTACCATATACAGTACATATGCCTTTCCAGGCCATAACTCTATAGGATCTTCCAATCCAAGTGTCTCAGGGGATTTCCATCCCATAACTCTGTTGACCTTCCGGTCCATACTCTGTTGATCTTCCGATCCATATCATCCTGACCTTCCGGTCCATATCTTCATAATCATATCATAACATATCACATATACAACATGCATCACATATTCATCATACACATAAGACCTTCCGGTCACACATAATTACCCCATCGGGTAAGGCGTAGTGAGAAGACTCACCTCAAAGATGTCGGATAAACACTCATGCTCAATCTTCCGACCTCGCTTCCTCCTATAACATAAATACATCTCTAATTATTACTTCCCTGACTTAGTTTGACTAATACCCTTAAATCAACATAAGTGAACTCTGGTCAACGCTGGTCAACAGTCACCTCTTGACCCAACTCGTCAAGTCATGTACCTACTCGGCGATTTCAGACGTGAACTACAATTCCTTAAATCCAATCTAACTCACCGAGTCACTCACCCAACTCGGCTGGTCACCAACTGACATGAGTCACGGATCAACCCGGTCCGACTTGTCGAGTCTACTTATGGACTCGACGAGCCCATTCCATACTCAAACAAAAATGACCTTCTGAGGTCATATTTGTTCCTCTAATCCATATATCTGTCCTTCCCAAGCTCAATAACCATGTAAAGTCCTAACCTTGACACTCATGCAATGTCCGTATGACTCTATTTGATGAAATAGTTTATAAAATGGCATTCTAGGTTCATTTCCTCCATATAATAACATAAAGCATGATTGATAATGCTCTCTGGACCTCTAAAGGTCCAGATCCAGAGTCTAACACCCAAAGGGATAACGTATATATCATTACAAGCAAATAAAAGGGGTTGGGAAAACCCTAGATTCAAGGTAATTAACAGTTACACAAGATTAAGCACATATTGTTACCACTATCAGCTCCATTTGACAAAAAGATAGTAGATCTAAGCTCCTTAATCCTCCTAGTATGCCCTCCTTCCTTCTCGATTGCTAAAACACTCAAGAAATGATGAATTAGCCTTTCTCTTGCTCCACAAACGATCTCTCTGCCCTCAAGGGTTTCTCAGGGGTGCAGTCGCCGCAAATGACGACCATAAGGGCCCTTAAATAGGGCTCAGGCCTTGAGATTTAGGGTTTCACATAACATCACGGACTTGTCGAGTTCACCCATTGACTCGTCGAGTCCTTTCATTAATCCAGTCAACCAATCGCGATCCTACTCGATGAGTCTAGGCATCGAATCATCGAGTCCCTCCTCATGACTTCAAAAGAAATAATCAGATTAACATGCCTGGAAATCCGGATGTTACAATTTTCCCCACTTAAAATATATTTCGCCCTCGAAATCGCTCCTCAACCACATAGATAGAAATCAAACACTCATAAAGCACCACTGAGAGGCTATCCCATCAAACGTTATCTTTCTTCCTGCATACCTGAATCCGCCTAGGTACTCCAAATTTGGAACAGAACCGGCTCCTCTGCCGCTAATATAACCCTCTCGAACCTTCCCAAACAAGAAATCCCTGTAGCCGACCGCCCACTCAAGCTATCACCATGATATTCACCCTTCGAACATCAAACCCTGATAACTCACTTCTCCTCTGATTCTCTCAAGACAAAATCCGGCAATCGGCTGTCGATCATTCATACCAACGTACCAAAACAGTCCGAATCATGCTCCAAAGAACGAAAGGTTTTGCATCCAACTAGGGCTTATCCACTGAACGCCTATTAGAATCCATCCGAATCAATAACTTTCAACATCCTGTCCTCTGAGACAAGAGGACCATGCCCGCTTAGAATTCCTCCATGTAAAATCATAAACCTCAGCTGCAACCCTCATATCCCTATTTAACACTGAGCATCAGGTCTGATCTTGACCCGACAGTTGACCCCCAGGGTCACCCCTTGCATTATCCCAACCGTCTCCATGGTTTACTTCTTACTATCACTATACCGGCCCCATGCGACACTCAAATAACGAAGTTTGCTCAACCCTAAGCGAATGCTACTTTCCCCAACTGGAGATCGACTCGACCCTGACCTCTTCCTTCTGATACTCATCGCTCAAACAAATTGCGGTACCTCCTGTACCCGAGTACTGACCCACATAGGTCTAAGACGTCAGATGACAGAAAATACCTCTCATCATGGAACCCACCTCAGAACCTAAAATCTCATCTCTCCTATCCCACGTACAACCAGAGCCAAACTCAAACTCGAGAGTTTGGTCCGACCTAGAGTTGGAACCACTCGTCCCAACGAAGCACTTAACTCCGAACTCATTTCCTGCAACTCATGCGTTCCTCACTCATCCCATTCCTTCAGATTGCGATAACCACACCTTACTCAGATCATAATGACTTCTTGTCATTGAGGAGACCTCGATCTCGCCCCTGGTCCGACCACCAGGTTCCCAAAAACTCATAAATTAAGGCCACCCCATGCCTAAGACTCTTTTGCATCATGCTCTGATCAAAGAGTACCTTATCATGACAACTTCTCGCTGACTAGTGCATACTACAGCTTCCCATAGCAACACAACAACCCTGACCAGTGAGTACTACGAATTCCCGTAGCAACACAACAACCTCTGACCAGTGAGTACTACGACTTCCCATAGCATCACAACAACCTCTGACTAGTGAGTACTACGGCTTCCCATAGCATCACAACAACTTCTGACCAGTGAGTACTACGACTTCCCGTAGCATCACAACAACCCCTGACCAGTGAGTACTACGGCTTCTCATAACATCACAACAACTTCTGATCAGTGAGTACTACGGCTTCCTGTAGCATCACAACAACCTCTTACCAGTGAGTACTATGGCTTCCTGTAGCATCAAAACAACCTCTGACCATACCACTGAAACTGTAGCTTCCCGCAGTCTACCGCACTTTCTCTTTCCTCTTAACAATCTCATCCTCGCATTGACGCCATACCGCGATCAATAACTTGTGCCCTGCGCACCGACCATGCATAAATATAAACATCTACTCAAGTTACGTATTGCCATTTCTGATGTCATCCCCTATAACGAAACACCTATCCCTGCTGCAATCCTCATTCTCGAATAATCTCACTTGATGTCCA